GAATTAACTCTATTTCACTCTATTTAAATTAAAAGAATTAACTCTATTTCACTTTATATAAATTAAAAGAATTAACTCTATTTCACTCTATTTAAATTAAAAGAATTAACTCTATTTCACTCTATTTAAATTAAAAGAATTAACTCTATTTCACTTTATATAAATTAAAAGAATTAACTCTATTTCACTCTATTTAAATTAAAAGAATTAACTCTATTTCACTCTATTTAAATTAAAAGAATTAACTCTATTTCACTTTATTTAAATTAAAAGAATTAACTCTATTTCACTCTATTTAAATTAAAAGAATTAACTCTATTTCACTCTATTTAAATTAAAAGAATTACCTCTATTTCACTCTATTTAAATTAAAAGAATTAACTCTATTTCACTTTATTTAAATTAAAAGAATTAACTCTATTTCACTCTATTTAAATTAAAAGAATTAACTCTATTTCACTTTATTTAAATTAAAAGAATTAACTCTATTTCACTTTATTTAAATTAAAAGAATTAACTCTATTTCACTCTATTTAAATTAAAAGAATTAACTCTATTTCACTCTATTTAAATTAAAAGAATTAACTCTATTTCACTTTATTTAAATTAAAAGAATTAACTCTATTTCACTCTATTTAAATTAAAAGAATTAACTCTATTTCACTCTATTTAAATTAAAAGAATTACCTCTATTTCACTCTATTTAAATTAAAAGAATTAACTCTATTTCACTTTATTTAAATTAAAAGAATTAACTCTATTTCACTCTATTTAAATTAAAAGAATTAACTCTATTTCACTCTATTTAAATTAAAAGAATTAACTCTATTTCACTCTATTTAAATTAAAAGAATTAACTCTATTTCACTCTATTTAAATTAAAAGAATTAACTCTATTTCACTCTATTTAAATTAAAAGAATTAACTCTATTTCACTCTATTTAAATTAAAAGAATTAACTCTATTTCACTTTATTTAAATTAAAAGAATTAACTCTATTTCACTTTATTTAAATTAAAAGAATTAACTCTATTTCACTCTATTTAAATTAAAAGAATTAACTCTATTTCACTCTATTTAAATTAAAAGAATTAACTCTATTTCACTTTATTTAAATTAAAAGAATTAACTCTATTTCACTCTATTTAAATTAAAAGAATTAACTCTATTTCACTCTATTTAAATTAAAAGAATTAACTCTATTTCACTCTATTTAAATTAAAAGAATTAACTCTATTTCACTTTATTTAAATTAAAAGAATTAACTCTATTTCACTCTATTTAAATTAAAAGAATTAACTCTATTTCACTCTATTTAAATTAAAAGAATTACCTCTATTTCACTCTATTTAAATTAAAAGAATTAATTCTATTTCACTCTATTTAAATTAAAAGAATTAACTCTATTTCACTTTATTTAAATTAAAAGAATTAACTCTATTTCACTCTATTTAAATTAAAAGAATTAAATCTATTTCACTTTATTTAAATTAAAAGAATTAACTCTATTTCACTCTATTTAAATTAAAAGAATTAACTCTATTTCACTCTATTTAAATTAAAAGAATTAACTCTATTTCACTCTATTTAAATTAAAAGAATTAACTCTATTTCACTCTATTTAAATTAAAAGAATTAACTCTATTTCACTCTATTTAAATTAAAAGAATTCTATTAAATTAAATTAAAAGAACTCTATTATTAATTAAAAGAATTCTATTAAATTAAATTAAAAGAACTCTATTTCACTTTATTTAAATTAAAAGAATTAACTCTATTTCACTCTATTTAAATTAAAAGAATTAACTCTATTTCACTCTATTTAAATTAAAAGAATTAACTCTATTTCACTCTATTTAAATTAAAAGAATTAACTCTATTTCACTCTATTTAAATTAAAAGAATTCTATTAAATTAAATTAAAAGAACTCTATTATTAATTAAAAGAATTCTATTAAATTAAATTAAAAGAACTCTATTTCACTTTATTTAAATTAAAAGAATTAACTCTATTTCACTCTATTTAAATTAAAAGAATTAACTCTATTTCACTCTATTTAAATTAAAAGAATTAACTCTATTTCACTTTATTTAAATTAAAAGAATTAACTCTATTTCACTCTATTTAAATTAAAAGAATTAACTCTATTTCACTTTATTTAAATTAAAAGAATTAACTCTATTTCACTCTATTTAAATTAAAAGAATTAATTCTATTTCACTCTATTTAAATTAAAAGAATTAACTCTATTTCACTTTATTTAAATTAAAAGAATTAACTCTATTTCACTCTATTTAAATTAAAAGAATTAACTCTATTTCACTCTATTTAAATTAAAAGAATTAACTCTATTTCACTCTATTTAAATTAAAAGAATTAACTCTATTTCACTCTATTTAAATTAAAAGAATTAACTCTATTTCACTCTATTTAAATTAAAAGAATTAACTCTATTTCACTTTATTTAAATTAAAAGAATTAACTATATTTCACTCTATTTAAATTAAAAGAATTAACTCTATTTCACTTTATTTAAATTAAAAGAATTAACTCTATTTCACTCTATTTAAATTAAAAGAATTAACTCTATTTCACTCTATTTAAATTAAAAGAATTAACTCTATTTCACTCTATTTAAATTAAAAGAATTACCTCTATTTCACTCTATTTAAATTAAAAGAATTAACTCTATTTCACTATATTTAAATTAAAAGAATTAACTCTATTTCACTCTATTTAAATTAAAAGAATTAACTCTATTTCACTCTATTTAAATTAAAAGAATTAACTCTATTTCACTCTATTTAAAAAAATTAAATTAGAAAAAGAATATCATCAATAGTCGTTGGCTAAGAAAATTTTTCAGCTCGAATTTCAGCTCGCAGATCTTACTTGTAAAAGCACATGAATAATAAGTGACACATTTAGACCACATGAAGTGACACATTTAGACCACATGAAGTGACAGATTTAGACCACATGAAGTGACACATTTAGACCACATGAAGTGACACATTTAGACCACATGAAGTGACACATTTAGAAAAGCCTAGAAATAACTTAAAAATGACATATGCAACGTTGAACTTAAAATGTTGACTGGACTAATTATTAGTAGATATTTTTAAAAAAATCACTAAAAACTTTTAAAAACAATTATTTGTTCTTCTATATTGCAAATACATCATATGATAAATCTGAAATGAAAGAATGTAACGAATAAGTAAATACAAAGAAAAACATTATTGATACTAATTATATAATATATGATACCAGAGTAGTAGTTTAAGTATTCTTATTTTATCTTAGCTTTTAGAAAATAATTTATGTTGGTACATCATGGTTCTAAAAAATCAAATTGAGATATAAACAAAATGTATATATGGCAAAATGATTTGTCTTGAATGGCTTTTAGAAAATTATTAAAAGCAGTAGTTCCAATAGTAAACCTATTAATCATTTTTAACAATAGACACCAAAATAAATGTAAAAACATTTTCAACATTAGTAACAACATTACGCCAAATATTAATAAAAGTTATTAATATTTTATAAAAGTTAGAATTGTCATAATGAAGGCTAGACAATACCTAGACCTAAAGCAATAACACCACTTAACTGGCAAGGTAGATAAATCTTGCTCTACACGTTTGCCAAGTCACACCGCTTTAAAAACATGGAAATAACATAATATAAACATATATACTAACTATAGAACACAGCATATTTATTTAATTTTATGTAAATATATAAACACTTCATATAACAATCATATACACATTAGATAAAATACATTTGATACTGTTATAAAAACACATTTATAAAACAATTATACAGCACATTACTACATACACATATTTATCAAAAACTTTTTAGTTTTGAACAAATTATAAACATATATACAAACTATAAACAAATATAACTTGAATCGTCCAAACAAAAAATTTAAATATGGCATAACAAAATTTAAAAAGATTCATGAATATATTCATATATATACAAAGAATACATATGAAAGATTTATATCTCTTAATAAAATATCGAATTATAATCATATTTTGTTGGTATACAGAGAAAATGCACAAGTCCATTTTTGGTAGTATGGAGTTATTTACACCACCATTTATTATTTTAAATTCTCTATCATTTCATATACCACACAAATTTAATAAATCAATTATTTATGAGTTATTAGGATTTTTTATTTCAACTATTATACAAAAATTTATTATTTTAACTTTACGCAAACACTTGTTTGTTTATATCAAAATGATGATTGTTAAATTTCCCTTAGATACCAACAATTTAATTTAAATTAAATACTTATAAAGAACAAAAAATATTTAAAAAAACTGCCATCCTTAAAACAAAATTTGACCTTTACAAACAACAAAATGTTAGTGTTGGCTCAATTTTGTAAAATAGTGTTGGCTTCTAAATTTTGTAAAAAAGAACAAAAATATGACAAAAATTTTTGTAAAAAAGAACAAAAATAGCATCACAGAAATGTCAATAAAATAATAATCAGCATAATAAAACAATGAAATAATAATCAGCATAAAAAAACAATGAAATAATAATCAACATAAAACAATAAAATAATAATCAAAATAATAAAACAAGCAAGATTTTAAAAGATAACATTCAATGCATATTGAATTTTATAATAAACTATTTTAGAGCAAAAAAGCAATAAAAAATAGTTTGGCCTTATCCATACCCCTATTTTCTTTCTAAAGGGGTAAAAATAAGCTCAATAAAAAACAAAACTGAAAAAAAAAAAAGTAAAAAAAAAATAAATAATAAATCTAAAAGAAAAACTAATACAAACAAAATATAAAAAATTAAAGAGTGATCCTTTCTAATTTTAATCTAATAAAAATGTAATATATAATTTGCTAAACTATTTTCTATTAAAAAATACAACAATAATTTTTATTGTTATAACAATAATACTGTTTGCACAATTTTGAAGTTTGTTATTGTTATTAATTTTAAGAGAATCAATTTTCGCTTTCAAGAGACAATGGAGTTTTTCATAGCGATGTTAAAGGTGAAAAAGATTTTGTTTTTTTTTCAAAACATTTTTATTATAATATAAAAATGATTTAAAAAATTCAGGTTTATAAAAAGTTAATTTAATATTTTAAACTGCTTTTGTGCTCAAAAGTTGCTTAATTTATGTTCATTTATTTTAGTAATTTTTTTTTAATTTCTTTTTTATTCTGCTGAAAATAATTTAAAATTACTGCTTAAATTGTTTTAAAAAACAATTTAAAAAAGTATTTTTTTACAGCTCCCATACTAGGTTTATAGATTTCATGTCATTTTCTATGAAAAAACCTAATGTTTATAGAACTGTATGAAATAGCATTTTAAAAAGTTAAAAAAATAGTTATCTGTAGCATAGTAACTTATAATTGCTGCTGCTGCCTAAATTGTGTAAATGCTGTTGTTAATTGCTAAAAATTATCATCTAATGAATTAGAATTGAATAATTTGAAAGGGTTTACTTACTAAGACAGTGCTTAAATTGACTAGGAAAATAGTGAATGTGGTGAAGTTATTTTTCATGAGGACTTGCACTTTTTTTGGTTTATTCTGATTCACTCCCAACAAGGCTGCGAGCAACCACTATTAAGTTAGGAGTTACTAGAAAAAAATAATAGAGTTATAGAGCAAGGAAACAGTTGACAGAAAACTTGAAAAGTTTAGGGTTGAGTCAGGAAAACATGAAGATGGGAAAGATTTCCAAAGGGTTGATGTGCAGGGAAAAAAACTAAATGAATAAAAGTTTTTAGAGCATGCAAGGACAAATACAGTAAAAGAATGAGACTTTTGAATTGAGTTTTAGTGGATGGAATTAGAGATGATAGCAGCAACCATGATAATGTTGTAGAAAAGAGAATTAGATGCAACTCTGTCAATTGTTATTTTGCTCTACAATCTTCATCTTTTCTCTTCCAGTAACTTTCAAGTCTAATTAGTGGTTACTTGCAGCCTTGTTTGAAGCAAAGATGTTTAAAAAAAATAAAAAAATTTATGACCATGGTAAAGAGGCTCCAGTTTTGCAGATAAAGTGGGTCTAACTATTTTTTTGAACCTTGTCTAAAAATGCGTTTTTGGACCTTGTCTAAAAGAGAAAGAGCATCAAGAGAAGAACCAGCCCATAAATGACAACAGCATTCTATACAGGGACGAATAAGAGATTTGTTGAGGTAGAGAATGGAATCACGAGAGAGAAAATGGTGAGCACCATAAAGTGAAGCAACCTTTGTAAATGCTTTTTTAGTAATCTATCATATATATGGTTGTCATGAAAGGTCAGCAGTAAATGATAATAAGCTTGTAGCATTTTAACAATTTCTTGCTCATTAATTAGTGCTTGCACTCAAGCATGTCTACTTTCATGTCCGAAAGAACATTGTCAAAGATTTTTGATGTACTTTGTTGGTCCAAGGAATGAAATATTTGTTGAGAATAGAAGAATATATCCATCTGTAGGTAGCAATAGGGTTACCAGATTATAACAATGATAGAAAAATGAGTTTTTATTAAATGCAGCTTATTACAAAATTGAATTCAAATGTTTTTGTTTTCATCTTTTTTTTATCTGTTAATTAGCATTGGTTAGCATGGAAATGATATATTCTTACTCTTATTTTATATTTCCAACTCTAGACACAGAAGATATATATATATATATATGTATATATATATGCATATATATGTGTATATGCATATGTGTATATGTGTATATAGTTTGATTCAGTGTGGATCTAGAGTAGTTGGTCATTTTGTTTTTTAAAAGTTTGGTAGGAGTTTTTTTGATGGTTAGAGATTAAAATGTCAAGAAAATTAAAGCTGTTTAGATAAGTTTGAATCTCTTTTTGAAATCCGATGTTTTTAAATATCTTAATTATATTTTTTCTGATTTTGTCTAATTGTGCAGTAGTTTTTTTGAGCATCAATCCGTCATCTTGGTAAAGACCAATATCCTTTTGAGTTTTTGATAAAGAGTCTAGAATGTATAAAACCACCAGTTCACATACTTCAGCTCCATCAAAACATCCCATTGTGACATCAAAACAATCATTATATTGCTTTTTTTTTAAACCATGTTTCATTTTTTTTTAATCAATAGTGATTTTCTGCAATCATTTATGACTCTAAATTTTTCTTTAGTGATTTCAGTGTGTTGTTTTGCAAATATTAAAATGTTGTTTAGTATGTCTTTTGAGATGGATGGGTAAAATTCATTGATGTTGAGTTGTATGAGTACACAGTTTTGCTTGTCGCTTATGTTTGTAAACTTCGATAACTTCAGCAGTGTTTTTCCATTGGTTTAGTTTTAATTTCTTTTTTAATTCCTTGTTGATTTTATCAAGGTTTGTTTTGCTGACAATGCTGAGTTCACTTTGTGCTATATAATAGGTGGCAAGGCTTTTGATATTCAAAGTTGTTTTTGTGGTCTTTTAATGTAATAAGTGCTTCTGATTTGCTGATTATGTTGATTTGTTTGTTTATATTTAGTTTAGTTGTTATGCTTTTTGCTTCAAGGTTGATTGAATTTTCTAGTTTTTTAGGGACTTTTTTGTATGTTTTTGTGATATTTTCATTTAATAGTTTGGAGTAATCTACTGGGGGTAATTGGTAAATTTTGTTGGTTTTATCGGCAAATAATAGGATGTTAGTGTTAGATTTAATTTTTGATACATCATTTTTTAATTTTTTTTTAAATTGGCTTTGGGATTTTTTAAAAATTATTGATTTAACTAAGTTAAAATATATATATATATATATATATATATATATATATATATATATATATATATATATATATATATATATATATGTATATATATATATATATATATTTATATATATATATATATATATATATATATATATATATATATATATATATATATATATATATATATATATATATATATATATATATATATATATATATGTATGTATGTATATATATATATATATATAATTTAACTTAGTTCTGTCTCAAAGTTTTCAATTTCTTCGCATTGTAAAGGTGTTTTTTTTGTTTTTAAACCAAATTTTTCTTGTGTACTTGTTTCGGTTTAGTTCATGGGAATATATGATTTCCAGCGTATTCTTTTTATAAAACTTTCTATTTTTTCAATTGGATTTTTAGCTAGTTTCATCTTGTATTGGAATATTTTTCAGTGATTAAAGTTAAGTTTAATTTTTTCAATTTTTTTGAAGTTGTTAGTTGAGATAGGATGACTGGAAAATGGTGTATTGTCTAAATGTTTGATTACTTCCATACTGTCCAGAAAAATTGTTTTTAAATTTGGTTAGCGACAAACAAAATAAGTTTAACATAAATTTAAGCAAGATAAAGGAAGTGAATTTCTAAGAACTGATGTTCAAGGAAAAAACTAGACATATAAGAGTTTTTGAAGCACGTAGAAACAGTCACAGAAAAAGGATAAGACTTAACTAAATGACAAGTAACACAAGAGTGAATTTTAGTAGATGGCACAAGAGACAAGAGCCCTTTAGAGCAGTTCCCATTATAGTATTTGTAGAAAAGAGAAAGAGAAGCAATATTGCGAGGATATGATAATGGTTGAAGGTTGACTGCAAGAGCAGGTCCAACTATGTTTACAATGCGTTTTTGCACCTTGTCTAAAACAGAAAGAACATCATTAGTAGATCCGCCCCAGATTTGACAAAAAGTTCTTAGCAAACAATTCAGCTTTGTCTTTAGGTGAGGTAACAAAGTCTGAAACATACAAAAGAGGTTAAATTACAGATTTGCCCTTATTGGTACTTTTAAAGATTCTCCAGAAGTTATGAGAGCCTAATTTTTGTGATGAAATACAAGATTTTATGACCTAAAAATAACGGGCTTTGGCATTAGACAAAACCTTTTTACCTAGCAGTAATAAACAGACATCTGTTTTCTGGAAAATTGTTTCGCTGATAAATATGGAGGTAATGGTTTCAATTGGCAATTGCAGCAGCACAATGTGAGGAAAACCATAGAGAAGAGTGAAGCCTGACCCGGAATCGTTGAGAGGGAATAAAGGATTCCATGCCAGCCTGAATCCACGAAGTTATGTTAGAAGCACATTTGTCAACAGGAAGTCAAAAGATTTCTACCCAAGGGCTATCACAAAGAAAATCATGGGAAGAGTGTTAGTCAGCTTTAAGGTAGTTGTATGAGGTATGATGATAGGGTGTTTCTCATGATGAAGAAGAATGAGATAATAGTTAAAAAGAGAGATCATACTGTGATCAGAGGCACCTAAGGGTGTATGTGGAGAAACTGAACACTGGCTAGTATCAGAAACAAGATAAGTCGAGTAAAGAAGGTAAATGATTTGGGTTGTCGGGAAAGAGAGTTGAAAGTTGACTATTTGAGTTAGAGATTGAGAAAGGCAAAAATTGTGGGCTTTAATGCCTGCAGAGTCACTGACACTTGAGCCAAACCATTAAATGTGTTGAACATTAAAGTCACTGACAATAACAGTATTGGCTCATGGATAAAGAGAGAGGGCTTTGTCAATTTGATCAAAATTACATCAAAAAGAGTGCAGTTTTGAGATAAAGGAGAAAATTTAGAACAAAGAGAAAGGCGATAGAGTGAAGTATTGCAAAATGAAAGCACATAAAAGGGAAGTCTGTTGATTCAAACCTTGTTTCCTGACAAATGGGTGAATTCTTATGAATGTAAATGCCCAGGCCAAGCATGTGACTATTGAAGTCTTTACGAATTAAAGGAAGATAACCATCAACACTAAGATCACAAGATGAGACAGCTGAACTCAAATTAGTCTCACAAAGAGCAAGTAGGTCTGGTAAACTTTGCAAGAGATAAGACTCAACAGAAGAAAAGTTACTTCGAAGACCACAAATATTAGTGAATGATAGGTTTAGCAAACTTGGTGATGACAGTGGTTTTTTGTGTTTTATAGTTTTATTACTTTATTCATTTTTAATTTTATTAAAGAACTTGACTCGAAACATAGATAGTACTAAGTTCACTGTTTAATAGCCCAAGAAATTGCTTCATTACTACCCCTAACCCTAAGCCGTAACAAAGGGCTCCAATGTGGCCTTGGCAACTCACACTAAAATTACAAACATGGACACCATCCATGTGCAACATGGCACTGTTAATACTTTGATATTTTTCAGCTGTTGATGAAATCGCCTCTCTGAGAGCTACCACAGAGTTCGGGAACCCTGACTATCAGCCAGCCTCAGAACTTTAAAATTGAGTTTTAAAGCTGTACCCTCATTAGGAGAAACTCAATTTTAAAAATGCAATTTTGTAAAAACACCTTCAGCATATAAGGAAATATTTTTCCTTATATGCTACAAAATTTTACAGTACATTAAATTGTTTTGTTTTCTTCTTGATTTGACGCTCTGCAACATCAAAGGAACATTCTAAAACAAAGTTTTGCAAGCTGTGTATTGAATCACCTGCATCCACTTCAGATCGACTCTGCAACTCACTTATCTGAAATGTAATATTATATAATTACCATAAACTGTCTGTACCTGCAGCCTGCATAATATTTTAATATTTTCTTAGTTTTAAGTTAAAGAATTTTAGTTTGCTGCCTCAAGATTAATGTAGGGGTGTGGCAGGGGTAAACCTTATCCTGCTGTATTTAAATATCTCTGGTATATAGATACTAGTCTTTATTTTGATTTTTGTCTGGTTGTTGTTCTGGGGAGTTTCCCTTTTTTTCCACTTTTACTAAAAACACAAACTAGAACATTCACATCTAGGTTGAATAGTTATGATAATAAAAACTTTTATTGTTGAAAAACCATATGATGCTGGAAGAAAAATCATATGATATTGGAAAAAAAAATCATATAATGCTGGAAGAAAAATCATTTGATGCTGGGAGAGCTGTTAGAGCTTTTTTGAAAGAGTTATTTTGTCATATGAATGAGGTGATTATCAATATCAGTAGGATAAGTGCGCTTTACGCTTTGTTATTTAGTTGCTTTTTAAATATTTTCTGTGCATACAGTTTTGAGAATGTTTATATATGTTAATTAATAAATTAAAAAAACTCAAAATAACTTCTTTATGTAAAACTTTTATCTTTGTATTTATAATTCATTTGCCAAGATTTCAATTTACTTTACGATTTAACTGAAGCAAACTGTAATGCTTTTATAACTGCTGAGGTAGAGGAATGAACTTCTGAAAATAAGAATATAATGGACATTTATTATATAAAATCAATGTTAAATTTGATAAAGGATAATTTTTTATCTTTACATATAACCTGGAATATCATCAATTATATGATTGGAATATTTAACAGCTAAATGGACTGCTTCTTAACTTAAATCAAACTAAAATAAAACTCATCTTGCACACTTGATGTAACATTAACTGCTCTTCCATTGTTATCCATTTGTTTTTGTAGCTGGTTTCAACTATATTCCATAGTTTTAACTTTAAGGACAAATAATTGACAATAATTTTCCAAAATATTTTTAAACTACGCGAACCTTCATTTTTTTATATGGTTTAAATAATTAACTATATACCTACTGTTGAAATTAAATTTTTTTTTTTAATTTTTTTTTTATTTTAATTCACCTCCTCAAGGCCGAGAAGGCCACTACAGACGAGGAGGCTACTTATTTGTGGCTATAACACTCTCTCAACTCTATAACTCCGAAACACGAACCTTGATGAACAAGGCCGCTGCGTGGAGAAACGAGTTGAGCGCGGTACTACCAGGGACGTGGTGGGGATCGAACTCGGAACCACTCGTTTATGAAGCAAGCGCTCTACCACTACACCACTACCGCGTTTAGAACTTGTGTAGTGCAATCATCAAAAGAGTTCTCTGATCAGTTGTGCATCGCACTATTAAATGGGTTTTTTCTAAAGCTTTCCAACTGCAACAACTTAATAAGAAAGTTAATACTAATCATATTCCATCATCAACCAAACACATAATACTTTTCTCTTTTTTGAAGTCCTGAGGCTAACTTTTGCCAAAATACTCAAGCAAAAATGATACAATCATTCAACCTCTTTGAGTTATACTTATTAACTGCTTCTAGAATTTTTTTTAACTAGCTATTCACTGCGTTTTAGAGTAAAGCGAAAAATTTCAAAATTTGATCACCCAGTTTTTTTTAAACCTTTTAAGCTTACCCCACTAGACTTTTATTTTGTTAAAAAAACTTAGTTTTTGCTAACTTTAATATATATATATATATATATATATATATATATATATATATATATATATATATATATATATATATATATATATATATATATATATATATATATATATATATATATATATATATTCTTTATGATTTTTTACAACTTTATAAATTATTGTTACAATTCTCTTGACATAATATATAGTCATAGAGAAAACAAAAATAAATGTATACATATATAAATCAATAAAAATATATTGTCAAACACACTGTGTTAAATGCAAATTATATGTTTTATATGTATATAATATGATAATAAATTTGATAAAATAATTTGGTGAAATAATTGTGATGTTGTAAGGAAACTCGCAGAAGATTTTAAGAAGTCTTGTCATCGAGAACTTTTGAGACATAAAATAAGTTAAAAATTAAAAATAAAATATTAAAAATAATATAAAAATAATAAAAATTAAAAATATTGAGATATCAAAATTAGTAGGTGTTGTATAAGAATTTTAGATTTTGTTATTTTTTCTTCCCACACCATTTGAAGCAAAGCATCCCCAAACCATAATTGAGCCTCCTCCATGCTTGACAGTTTTTTTAAAATTTCTATCTAAGAGTGCATCACAAGGTCTGTGCCAAACTCTTTGTCGTTTTTTAAAGCCAAATATTTGAAATTTACTCTCATCAGACCATAACACTGAGTTCCAAAATGCCTCATCCTTGTTAATATGCAGTTTTGCAAATGCTAAGCGTTTTTTTTTGTTTATACCACTAATGAGGGGTTTACTTTTTTGAAGACGGTTTATTAAACCACTTGAATTAAGTCTTCTCTGTACAGTTTGACTGGAAACATTTAATTTAAGATTTTCAACAATCTGTCTTGAGGTTATTGTTGAATTTTGTTTTGCTATTCGCGCAATTAGCATATCAGTTCTTGTTAAAGTCTTAGGGGGGCAACCAAATCTTTTCTGATTTTCAAAAGAACCAGTTGTTTCAAATTTTATACACATCTTTCTAACACCACTTATCGATATTTGATATTTTTCTGCACATTGCTTGTCGGTTAGGCCCATTTTTCGATCACAAATGACCCGAGATCGGATATTCCAATGAATAATTTTGATGATGAGCCATTATTATTGTTAGTTTTACTTTTTCTAAAAATAAATTCCGAAAAAATAAAGTTTAAAATGCTTATTTTTAATAAATTTAACAAAATCTCTTAAATAATAATCATTTTTAATAAATAGCTATTGACAAAACATATTTCAGATCTTGACGTAAATAATTTTGTTTGTATTGTTAGAGTATCAATTTTATCAACAATGTTACTTAATTTTGTCCGTGACTGCATATATACATATATATATATATATATATATATATATATATATATATATATATATATATATATATATATATATATATATATATATATATATATATATATATATATATATGTATATATATATATATATATATATATATATATATATATATATATATATATATATATATATATATGTATATATATATATATATATATATATATATATATATATATGTATATATATATATATATATATATAACTTAGATTCTTCCATTTTCGCTTTAGATATGTTAAATATGGATGCAATCAATATTAAAAGTATTGATTACAATAATCTTATAAAAAACGGGGTTTTTGCTGAATGTGCATTTGGAAAGGTACATTTTTATATTATTTATTGATCTACTAAGTTGTAGTTTAATTCAAAAATGTTCAGTTGTGCAATTCAAACCTGCGATGTTCTCAGAGAATCTTACTGCTAAAATCTTACAGAGTGTACTAATTCAATCGAGGCCTTTAAATTTAAATATGCTTATCCAGATGTTTGCTCAGATAAAATAGAAAACGTAGAAGGATATTATTTTGCTGTAATAAATATCTTTAATATGTTAATATTGACTGACCCAAACCTATATATACATATATATGTATATATATATATATATATATATATATATATATATATATATATATATATATATATATTTATACATTTGTATAGTTTAGCCCTTATGGGGTATTTACTCGGAGTCTCTTTGATATGCCAAAATTGTCGAAGTATATCATCTGTTGCTGTGTTGTTCTGTTCTTCATTAGTAAAAAATGTATGAATGAAGCTTGTATAATAATTTTGATTTAATTAAACACGGCTGCCCACGCAAGTCCATCCTAGTGGAGTGAGATGAGCAACAGGTTCTCCTAGATTTCCACATTCATCTTAAGCTGAGTAGTGAAGGTCAGCATAGTCTATACCATTTAAAATTGAAACAACTGGTTTTGGACCCATACCTGGAAAATCAATATTTTTCAATGTTTCCACTTTGTTGCATGTCTCTTCCAGTCAACTATACATTTTTTTTTTTTTTTTTTTTTTTTTTTTTTTTTTTTTTTTATTTTATTTCACCTCCTCAAGGCCGAGAAGGCCACTACAGACGAGGAGGCTACTTATTTAAGGTTATAACCCTCTCTCAACTCTATAACTCCGAAACACGAACCTTGACGAGCAAGGCCGCTGCGCCGAGAAACGAGTTGAGCGCGGTACTACCAGGGACGTGGTGGGGATCGAACTCGGAACCACTCGTTTATGAAGCGAGCGCTCTACCATTACACCACTACCGCATCACATATACAGCAAACAAAGTATCCAGTTACTTTGTTTGCTGTATATGCTGCAATTTTCATATTCACTTTACAATTTAAACTTTCCAGTTCAAATTCAACAGGCGTTGTCGGAAATGTATAAGTTCGATTATTTAAAACGCTTACTGTAACTTCTTGTGGTTTACCATTTAAACCTAGTTCACTTGCAACATAGTTATTTACATAGGTTTTCGTACTTGCATCATCCAATAAAGCATTAACTATAATTTTCTTTCCACAATTCTTCAGTATGGTTGGTTCCCAAGCATCGATAACATAGTATTTTACTTTTTGTCAATTTCCATCTATCTAAAGTATCAAGCTGTTTAAATTGGTCACAGTTTCACAAGGCATGATTTTGCTTACAAACAAGACATTTCGACCATAATTTTCTCGTTTCAATTGTTTCGGTTTCACCAAAATAGGATTGATCAGCTTTTGGCTTATAACAGCTAGTACTTTGTAACCCATGAATATTTTTCAGCTACAGCAATTTGAAACTCTGTTTCTTTAATAATAAACTGTCATAAGGTTTTAACATTTTCTACTTTTGCATTTTCAAAAACCCAATGTTGATAATGAGTAAGCATTTCCTCTGATAATTTTTTTTTGAAGTTTTCTATAAAATGTTCCTTTGCCAAGCCTCCCTTTCTTTCATTCCCTTTCTGCTTCTTTGAGATAGTAACTGCAATCTCTAATAAATCAGCAAGTTTCTCCAGATTCTTAGGATTGTCACTTCTTATTGGTTTGAAGTTTTCTAAATCGTCCATGTAAAGCATTAACTTTCTTCTGTGTCCACCATATTATTGCTACTACTCAATAAAATAAAGTCTAAAAAGATTCCTGAGCCTTAGTTAACCTAGTTACATCAACAATATATTAAAGTTACATCAAAAATTAAAATTTTATGGTATATTAAGTCTATACACGTAATAAGACATTAAAATATTGATAACAGCATTTTTCGCATATTTTTTTAAAATAAATTGTTTACTCATAATAAAAAGTTAAAATACTGTTTACAAAATTTTCATCAGATCTTTTTTTGATTGGCACACAGGCATCAGCTCTCTATGAGCCATTGTAGCCCTTATGAACCCATCTCTTCTCTTGGCACCAAACACCGATATTGAAGCTCTGGTGACCTCTTTCACAATGCGTTCAATAGATTGACCGTGAATAGGGAAATTTGGTACAACCATTGGATTATTAATAAACTGTATAATATCATCTCTAATCAAACAACAAGTAAGAACCGGTTCACTGTGAAGAAATAAAAATAAAACCTGTGTTAAGGTTGGTTGAATCTTTTCCAATTGCAACTAATTGGTTTTCAATGCCATGTGCTAATCATATAATTGTTCAGCAATATGTTCAGCAGGTGTTCAAGCTTTTCTCTTCTCTGAATTACTTACAAAGTGGAATAAATATTTTCCACTAGATTCAGAACAGACACTATAATGATCTTCTTTGATCTCCCTAGGATAAGATTTACCATCATTGCCATATACAACTGTTTTAGTAAGATCTTTTCTACCATCAAACATTATACATTGTATGCTCTCTTTCTTTACTTCATTATTATGTCTCTCTTTACAGACATTCATTACTCTTTGCTTTGATCTCTCAATTTTTTTATGATCCAGAGCTAGGTGTTTATCAAGTATATGATCTTTCAAAAAACCTGCATCTTTGGCTGCTTTTAATGTTGCAGTGCCTATTGATGCAGTTGCTCTGTTGCTTGTACCAAATCGTAATGCTGACAAAGTTTATATTTATAGTATTTAGCTGAGAAACTTTTTTTATTTCTGGTAAATAAAGATTGTCATTATAATCAATCTTAGCATTGTCTGACTTCACATCATTTTGAGATAATACTTCAGAATACTGTACAATCTCAATCCTAACTCTCTTTGGTTTGTTCTGCTTTCTTTGATGGTATTTTTTTTGTCTGGATACTTCTTTTTTATCAACTGAACCTGTTTGCATTCCACTTTTAGAACCAACTTTATCCCTCTGTGACTTTAAAAATTTAAGTTCAATCATAGGAATTTTATTTTCCTGAGAACATTTGCAAACAATATGAAAAACTTGGTTGCAGCCATAACAATCAGATTTTTTGCATGATTTTATTGAACATTTACACTTAGCTATGTCAAACAGTTTATCTAAGATTAATTTATGAACAGAAAGTTGCTTAGATGTTCCCCTACCTAACGCCAGATGTATATATATTTATATATATATATATTATATATATATATATATATATATATATATATATATATATATATATATATATATATATATATATTTATATATATATATATATATATATATATAAAAGACTTCTGTCAACAACAAAACAACAATAATTATCTCGCTAAGTCAGCAAAAGTGATTCCAGAACATTCTGGAATCACTTTTGCTGACTTAGCGAAAGTGATTCCAGAATAACACAGCGCGTTTCCAAAAATTTCTGAACTTTCTTTAAATGTAGTATCTGCTGTATATTTGGTTCTGTTTTAGGTCACTCTTTACACTGATAAAAATACAGGCAAAAAACTAGCAATAAAATGTATCAAAGTTGGAAATACAAAAGCTAATAAGGAAGCTAAAGAAGCATTGGAAAAATTTAAATCTGAAATTTCACTTTTTCAAGCTTTACATCATAAACGAATTGTGGAATACTATGATGCTATTTATAAAGACACATCAATCTCCCTTGTTATGGAATACATGGAAAGGGTTAATAATTTTTATGTTTTTGTGCTTTTTAAAAGTTATATCTTTAGTTTTAAAGAGTTTTTTTTTTTATTAATCAAACCAAGTATTTTTTTAAAGTTAAATTTGTCTTTATTGTATTCATTAGCAAAAATTATTTGGTGTTAAAGTATGAAACATAAAACCTTAAATGTGTTTTTTATTATCTGCTAAAACATTTTTCTAGATAATATTCTGACATTTAATAACAGGGGTTCTATAATCACTAATGTTTATTTTAATAAGAAATTCACAAGAAATCACTATTAAAGTTGAGCAAAAACAATTAAAATTAAGTATAAAATTTTTTAAAAGAAATTAACAAGTGAAGAAAAAAATTGAAAAGAAAAAGCTAATGTCAGAAAACATTAAAAACTGTTATTTGAATGAGTCAGAAAAGCATATATTTAGGAATTGAGATAAATCATTTTTTTAGTTGAGTGAGAAATAACTTTATCAAGTTAAGCCAGGGTAGTTTAGATGTTTGTGTGCGTAAAGTCATAAGGTTTAATAGATGAATTAGAAAATATTCTTTACAAATACCTATTCTTTATCATGCGGTAGTAGTGTAGTGGTAGAGTGCTTGCTTCTTTAGCAAGAGGTTCCGAGTTTGATCTCCACCATGTTCCTGGTGGTATTGCTTTTAACTTGTTTCTCTGTGCAGAGACCTTGTTCGTCAAGGTTCGTGTTATGGAGTTATAAAGTTGAGAGATTAATTAAGTTGCCTCCTTGTCTGTAAGCCATCTCAGCCTTGGAGAGGTAAATTAACATAAAAAAAAGATTAAAAAAAAAAAAGTGAGATAATAAGATCATATCCAGGATAAAAAAGTGTTATAAAACTTTCTTTTGTAAATGACATTTTTAAAGTTTTCTCAAACACTCTGGAATCCTAAGTCTGACAAAACAATTTTTTTTCATGCGATTAAGCATTCATTATATAAGTGAGAAATTTCAAGTTCAATCCCTGCCAAATCCTTGGTAGTACAGCGCTAAAATTATTTCTCTGTGCAATGATCTTTTTTGTCAAAGTTTTTGTTCAGAGTTAAAGAGATAATATATATATATATATATATATATATATATATATATATATATATATATATATATATATATATATATATATATATATATATATATATATATATATATATATATATATATATATATATATATATATATATATATATATTTATTTATTAGACTCTTAAAGAAAACAGGTGTGATTGCACTCTTTTTTGGCTACAAATAAAATAATGTTTTTAGACAACTTGACCATGGCTGTTGGCATGTTGCAACAATTTAAATGCTTTGAAAGACTGAAAGAACTAAGCTGATTTAAACTAAAAAAAAATTTTTGATGAAATTTTATCTAAAGAAAAAATAAAAAACAGAAAATAACTTAAAAAACTAAAAAATCATTTAAAACCTTTAAAAATTTTTTAGGAAAGATCAAAGTTTAAAAGTTGCATAATTATAAACTTTAAGAGTTATTTTTTCCTTTTATTTACTACAAAGCAATGTTACAGCAATGTTACAACTTTTATTTACTACAAAGCAATGTTATTTTTTTTTTCTTTACTTCAAAGAAATGCTTACTTATGAGGAAACATTTCCTTCTAAAAAAACTTTATTTACTAAATAAAGAATCATTTAAAAAATGAATTTATAATGCTATTTATTTAATAAATGTGTTATTATTTGACTAGCTTTTAGGAAAAAAAATTTTCAATAAATCAAAAAAAATAATAATCTTTGATAATTTAAATAAAATTTAATTTGTTTTTATTTAAAGGTGTTTTTAAAGGTGTTGTACTATTAAAATAATATATACCTTTTAACTTAAATAAGTTATATAAAATAATTCTTTGATATGTAAAAAAAAAAAAAGTTTATAAAAGACTAATTTAAAAGTAATTTATTTTTATTTTATTTATATATAATTTTACTTTTACTATTTAAAAGTTTCTCATAATAAAAAAATTGTTTTTTCATAACGTAAAAGAGTTTCTCATAATATAAAATTGTTTTTTCTCATAATATAAAATTGTTTTTTCTCATAATAAAAAATTGTTTTTTCATAACGTAAAAGAGTTTCTCATAATAAAAAATTGTTTTTTTTCATAATATAAAATTGTTTTTTCATAACGTAAAAGAGTTTCTCATAATATAAAATTGTTTTTTCTCATAATATAAAATTGTTTTTTCTCATAATAAAAAATTGTTTTTTCTCATAATATAAAATTGTTTTTTCATAACGTAAAAGAGTTTCTCATAATAAAAAATTGTTTTTTCTCATAATATAAAATTGTTTTTTCTCATAATATAAAATTGTT